CTCAAGTGTGACCCTTTGACTGAATCCAAACTTCACAGAACAAATTCCCTTAATAAAAGGATTTATTCTGTAAAACCTGGACTCAGTCAAAAGGTTGTACCCAGAAACCTAAAAAGCCACATGTGGCCTTGAGGCTGCAGGTTCCCCACCTCTGATTAAGACTTATATCAAAAGGGCAGCTAGGTGGCGCAGTGGATAAAGCAGCGGCCCTGGATTCAGGAGGACCTGAGTTCAAATCTGGCCTCAGACACGTACCACTTAATAGTTGTGTGACCCTGGGCAAGTCACTTAACCCCACTGTCTAGGCCAAAAAAAAACCAAAAAAACAAAAAAAAAAAACAAAAAAAAAAAGACTGTATCATAAAAGGATTCTGGTAGAGTGCTTTCTTTCCCAATTTTTGAAAATAATTTGTTAAGTATGGGCACTAAATGTTCTTTAAAATTTTGACAGAATTCTATGAATACACAAGGAGTTTTTTTTCTTTGGTAGGTCCTTTACTGGTAAATTTATTTCCTTTTCTGAAGTTGAGCTCTCTCTCTCCAGAGACATATATTTTAAGATATTTCTCTATTTCTTTTGTTCTTTAAGTTTTGTTAGTATATAGGTATGCATAATATGCTCTGATTGTTCTTAATTCATCTTTCCAAAGAACCAGCTTTTAGTCTCATTGATCAATCGATTTTTATTTTGCTTCTAATGTTCCCATTTCCTCTTTAATTTTTAATATTTCCTCTTCTGTGCTTATTTTATGTTTGGTCATTTGTTGGCTTTCTAATTTTAAAAAATGACTATTCAGTTCATTACCTCTTTTTCTATTTTGTTAATGTAAGGATATAATATGTCCCCTGTGGACTGCTTTAGCTGCATCCCAGAGATTTGGGATGTTTCATTATTATATTCTTTTACCTAATTATTGTTTCTAAGATTTGTTCTTTAACCTGCTCACTATTTAGATTTTCAATGTTAAGTCCCCATTTAGGTCTGTATTTTTGTTTGTGCTCACTTCACCAATTATTTTTACTGTGTTATAATCTTTAAAAGACATACTAACTATTTCTGCCTTTTTACATTTGTTTGAAAAATCACTGTGCCCTACTACACATACCTTTTTTATAAAAGTACCATGTAGTGCTGAGAAATAGTTATGTTCTTTTGATGTCCCATTTAGAAGACACCATAAGATGTTTAATTCTAGTTTCTGTAGTAATTTTGTTCAGTTCCATCTTTCTACCTTTTGTTTCTTTCTGTTAGACTTATCCAAAACTGAGAGAGGGACACTGAAGTCTCCTGTCACTTACTGTGTCTTCTTGTAGCTCAGATACTTCTTCTATAAATTTGGATGCTAAGGCACTTGGAGCATATGGGTTTATTAGTTTTGACACTGTTGTTGCTGTTTTTTTTTTTTTTTTTTTGTCTACGACTCCTTTCAGCATAATATGGTTCCCCTATTTATCCCTTTTTCTTTTGAATGTTTGTTTTTCCTTTGTCAGACAGCAAGTTTGCAACTCCTGCTTTTTTTGGAACTCACTTAATGCATAGTAAATATCTTCCTTCCCCATAGTTTAGTTTGTCTATGTCTTTGTTTTTTAAGTATGTTTCCTATAAGCAACAGATTGTAGGGTTTTAGTTTATTATTTAATCTGCTATCCTTTTTTACTGTATTAGATTGATTAATCCATTTATTTACATTTAAAATTATAGGTTAAAAAACTTGAGAGATTAATTTGTCCAAGTCCTTCATTTGAGAAATACATATAAAAACCACAGAGAGGAATGAATTTGGTAGTTATGTAGTAGAGCTAAGATTCACACCCAGATCCTCTAAATTAAAATCCGTTTTTCTTTGCAGGGTACCATGCTGCTATCCATTATGGCGCCTCACCCCCACCCCCAAGAAAGGTGGCCAGTAATTCACATTTAAAATAACTAGAAAGAGGAAATACTTATGACCTCAGCTGTCTCTAAATCAATGTACAGATTAATGGGTAACAAACTTGCAATTTTTATGTAAGGAGGTATACAATCCCACAGGTATCACTAAAACTTAGTGAAGTGGGTCACATGAATGGAAGAGCATTGGAAAATTACAACAGAATGAGAGGTGACAGGTCTACTGCATTCTTCTTCATTAGAACATACCCTGAATCTTCAGTACAAATCTGGCTACATATTAAAAAAAATATATATTGACACGTTTTGTTTTAACATAGTAGACAATTCCCAACACAAATACTACTCTAATACTGTTAACAGAGAGATGGAACATGTCTTTTAACTTACACAGTATTCTACTAACATTGATCAGGGTACATGTTAAGAGAGACATTTTAAGCTGGATTGCATCCAGATAAGAGTATCCAATATATCGAAATCCTAAGAGAAACAGCTGAAGGAACTAGGCATGTTTAGCCTCAAAAACAAAAGACTTAGAACATGACAGGTGTGTTCAAACATCTGAAGAGCTGTCATATAGAATAAAGAGTAAATATTCTTTGTGGCTCCAGAGTACAGAACAAGATACAATGGATGAAGCTAAAAGGTAAGAACTTTCTACAGTCTAGTACTGTACTGGATTCAGATCCAATCCTGGAATCAAGAACACCTGGTCTTGATTTTTTTATAGATAGATAGATATACACACATATATATGGGAATGACAAGTCATTTATCCTTTCAGGGGCCCCCTCATCCCCCCAGCAAGTCTAAGAATATGTTAGGATGGTTGCCAATATGCACTACTAAAAGAAGATTCCCACCTCTAACTCCCCATACCAAAAAAATCACAGTCATTTTTAACAAATAAAAGTTGATAGTATACAGAAAATTTTCTTTATTCCCTATCACAGTATATTGACCAAATAGAGACTACACAACCTCAAGGTTCTTGCAAAAGCTGAAGTTTTAAACTAGATAACTTCCCAAGTTGACTTCTATTTCTTTAAGATTCTATACTTCCATGACAAGTCAACAATTTAGAGCAAAAAATTAAATGAGTTATTTAATCTAACTATATCCCCAAAAAAGTGTTTCTGTGACAAATTAAAGGTTATTCAAGAACAAATTTGGATTATCTAAAACCAATGTGAGAAAAATAAAAAATTAAATTTTCTTAAAAAGTAATTACAAACAAAATTTAAGATTTCATGATCATGCCATGAGTTTTAACTCACTATCAAAAAAAACACTGGGTTGGATTTTTCCCTGTGGGGTGTATTAAACTGTTAACAAGGCTATTATATACATTTGTCTTCAAAGTCTCCAAATAAAACAAATTTAAAGAAATTTTAATAAAGCATGACTAAATACTAAAAATATAACTTTTTAAAGTTACCTTCTGTTATAATAAAAACAGAAATACTTATATAGTTCTTCTCACTTTCTGATTAACAATGGGGAAGAAAAACAACCTACTTTACCTGGTAACTAACAAAGAAAGAGAGGTGTGATGGTATATTGGATAGGAAGCCAGTCTCAGAATCAAGAAACCTGTCTTCAAGTCCTGCCTCTGACACATTGGCAGGGCAATTTACTCAATTTCTAAGTGCCCCAGGAACCTAAGACTATGAAATGCAGAATAGGTGCCAATCTGCATTGACAAAAGGAGTTTCCCTACGTGGAGTTCTCTATATCAATGATATCACAGTTCCTGATCCTTCCCTCAATCCTCCAAAGGACTAAAGAAAACAGTAAAGACTAAATGTGTTCATTTCTTCTTTGTCTTATTTTCTCCTGTTATAGAAGTTTAAATGGCTCAGTTAGACATACTTTAATACTCAGGATATCGATGATTTCATGACTATGAGAACTATCCTTACTGATTCAGTTTTCAGTCCACCTATAACATAGTAGATGGTTTTTAGGAATTATTATGGCCAAAAAGTTCATCAGGCTTCTGACGGTCACTCTGGTGATGAATCTCTTCATATTTAACTAGGATGGTCCTAAGGTGAAATACATGCAACTTATCCCTGTGAAAACTTGGCAGGATCTTTGGACTCTTCAAGAATCAAAAGTCATCTCTATATCAAGATGAATGAGGCTTCAGGATAGAGTATACAGAAAGATTAAACCTAATTATTAAAAGAAGCACACACATACTATATAGAGATTCATTCCATATTTAAGAATTGACCCACATTTGGAGATATGTGAAAAGTAACACTTTAACAACAGGAATGAATATATAGTTAGGGATTGGGTACGTCAATATGATAGACTACAGTAGTTTGCGCTGGGATTCCTATAGAATACTCATTCAATCACCATGTAATAATGGCATTCTTTTCCTCAGATCAACAAGTCTCATTCTAAACATTCTACAGAATATTCTTCTAGTAGAATCTAAAGGAACAATTTGTGTCATGTGAAATACATAAATTCAAAACTGGATAACTTGTGACCTTAACTAGGAAGGACCTACCTTAAGACTGTATCCTATCAGAATGAAGAAGCTAAATACATCTTCATAAAAACATGTATAACTGTTATCAAATAAGTCTGACTACAAACAAATGACACTACTGGTCCTAGATATACTAAAGCCCTTTGAAGTAAAATCAGCTCAATCAGGTTTTCCAAATGCCATTATTTTTTTCTTACTACTAGAGTAGGGGTGGGGAACCTGTTGCCTCGAGGCCACAGGTTCTTCACCCCTGTGCCAGAGTTTAGGGAGGTACAATGTAAAGAATGAAAAATTTCCATAGAATAGCTCCCAAATAACTTATATATAGCATTTCATGTTCTCCAAAGTGAAGGCAAAATGGATATAGAATGTGCTTTATACATTGCTGTAAGAAAACATCATGCTATTTAAAAAAAAAAAGCCAAATTCTGTTTGATTATAAGCAGTTCACATTTCCAAGAGAGCAGTAAAATTGTCAAATTGTTTCAATTAGTTACAAAGAATGACAGTCCTTTTCATTCATGCTTCACTGATTTTCATATCTGATGTCAGTTTTCAGATAACATAACTCAGAAAAAATAAGCTCTTTTAACCTACCTTGTATATTCTTCTTGTAGCTTGTTGGGATCACTTACAAAAAATTTGACTCTCAAGTTCAAACTGTAAGGAGATCCTCCTAGAATTAACAGAAGTATGTCTAATTAATTAGGTTATCTTAATTCTTTATCTTTACAAATCATACTTGGAAAACATCAAGTAGGTATATGTGCTCACTTTTTAACTGCTTCCTTATTGGTTTGTTTGGATCCAGCCACCTCTGAAAAATAAATAAATAAATGACTTTAAGACTATTATTTCTTTTCTCTGTCTCTCTGAAACCCATCAAAACCTCTAAGGACTCTGAAAATAATATATCAAATCTGGTATATTTGTCCCATACTGAAATTTATAATGAAACTTACTAAAACAGAAATTACTAAGTTTAAAATAGCACTGCTCAGTGAAGGAATAAAGAAAATTATATTATATGTGGTTCTATTAGTTAAATCTACCTATATGGGTTTTGAATCTGAGTTTTTATTAATTGTTAGAGATGTTTCACTTTATTAATCATATCATATCTGAGAGATCTGAAGTGGTTTTGGCTTAAGTAATTTCTATTACCTTAAAAAATTCTTATGAATTAGTCATGGTTTATATTCTTTTATTCAAAGCAGCAATCTAATTTTGAATGCTTCTGTAGATTCCCCTAAACCAATGTATTTATATAACAATTTCACCAATTTACTCCTTTTAAACAAATGACAATTTTAGATAAGACAGTAGTTAGAATCTGGAAATGATAAGTGATTGATGAGGCTACAAGTTATATTGTTTTAGAACATCAAATTTTATTTAAAATTCTATTTCTGGGTACTCACAACTGGAATCAGAATAGTCCAAGCAGCATGATTCAATAAAAAAGTAGCCAAAATATGTAGCAAATGTGGAAGCATGTTGAAAAAAATTAAAAGCACTACACAAATATAAGGACAAGTATTAGTATTTAAGAACCATAGTTTTACATTCTAAACTCCATTCAGGACTTTAACTTCCTTAGTAAAGTTCATGACTATCTAGAACTCTAGTCTAGAAATATTATTAAGCCTGTGTCAGGCACTGTGTAAGGCCCTAAGGATACAAGGAAAGGCAAAACAAAAAAAGTCCTTGCTCTCCAAGAGCTCACAGTCTAATGGGGGAGAAGAAACATGCAAACAACTATGTACAAACAACCTAAATACAGGGTAAGTTGGAGAGAATCTCAGAGGGAAAGCACTAAGATTATGAAGGACTGGGAAAGACTTGTCATAGCTGAAACTTAAAGGAAGCCAGGAAGTGGAGATGAGGAGGGAGGGTTCTAGGCATGAGGCAGTGAAAATGCCCAGTCAGGAAATGGATGGAAGGTCACGTGAAAGGAACAGCAAGGAGGTTGGTGTCATTGTATCAAATTATGTGGGGAAGTGTAAAGTGGAAAGGTAGTTAGAGGCCAGGTTATAAACAACTTTAGAAATCAAAGAAAGGATTTTATAATTGATTTCAGAGGCAAAAGGAAGACATCAGAATTGACTGAATAGGAGAGTGACAGATCAGAATTTGAGCTTCAAGAAGATCATCCCTGAGTAGAGAATGGACGACAGAATAGGGAGAGGTTAGTGGCCAGCAGAGCGACAAGCAGGCTACTTCAATAGTCCAAGCATGAGGAGATGAGGACCTATAACAGGGTGGTAACAATATCAGAAGAGAGAAAGGAGCATATAGAAGAAATGCTGAGAAGGGAAAATTGACAGGACTGGGCAAATAATTGCATATGGGTGGGTTGAGAGTGAGGAGTGAAAGATAACACCTAGGTTGCAAATCTGGCTGACTGGGAGGATGGTCATTCCCTTGATGATAACAGAGAAGTTTGGAAGAAGGGAGAGTTTTGGGGAAAAGGTAATTAGTTCAGTTTTGGACATGCTGAGTTTAAGATATCTATGAGACATATAGTTCTAGATATCCAATAGGCATGTGGAAATGTCAGCCAGGACAGTTCTGTAATAGGAGAAAGGTTAGGGCTGGACAAAGAGATTTAAGAATTATCTCTATGGAGATGATAACTGAATCAAAGGGAGCTGATATAGGTACCAAATGAGACAGTAGCATTGAAGAAGGGAAGAGGGCCCAGGACAGAACCATAGGGAACAGCTATGGGCTTGACATGGATGAAGACAAAGCAAAGAGTGGTCATAACAGGGAGGAAAAACAAGAAAAAGTGGTATTTCAAAAACCTAGAGAGAATAAAGAGAAGAGAGTGACTGACAGTGTCAAAGGATGCAGAGGGCTCAAAAAGGATGAAGAATGAGAAAAATCCATTAAATTTGGCAATAAAGAGATCACTGGTAACCTGGAAAGAGCATGAAGTTGAAAGATGAGGTCTAAAGCCAGACTGCAGAGAGTTAAATGAGAGGAAAGGACGCAGAGGCACCAGTTGTAGACAGCTCTCTCAAGGAGGCTAGCCGTAGAAGGGAGTAGAAATATAGGATGGTAAGTAACATGATGGATGAATCAAATGAGGATTTTCTGAGGATGAGGGAGACCTGGACATGTTTATAGACAACAGGGAAGTAGTCATTAGATAGAAATTAAAGATTAGTAAGAAAGTAGGTATAACAGAGAGAGAAACCTACTGAAGATGACAGTTTGAAATGAAATCACTTGTACATGCAGAGGTATTTGCCTTGGCAAAATAGCTATCTCTTCATGTGAGATAGGTTAAAAGAGGAGATAGTAATACAAGGCATCTGAATGCTTTGACATAAAGAGTAGAGAAAAAGGAGCTCTTGGGGAATAGCCTCAACTTTATCTGTGAAATATGAGGCAAATCTCAACTGAGGCAGGTAAGCAATGGGTGAGTTATGGGGGGATTCAGGAGGGATGAAAAGATTTAGAAAAGCCACTGTGGTGAGTAGGATAGGAACTGATTACAGAAGTGAAAGAGGACTACCTTGTCACAGTGGGGGTCTATTTGAGATCATGCAACATAAATTTGCAGTGTACCAAATCAGCAGTTTCATGTTCTTCTTCAGCTATGTTCACTAGCAAGAGAACAGGAGAGAAGGCAGGAGATGGTGGGAGTAATCCAAGAATGACACTTGACAGAGCATGACCTTTGATAGAAGTGGACAAGGGACTCAAGATGGAGAAGGGAGGAAGAGTCAATGTTGAGGTGATAGTCTGGAAAAAGAAATGGGGGCCGGGGAGAGGTCATGATCCTGCCCTCACACTTAGCACAATGCTGAGCATATAGAAGAATTCACCCTGTTTGCTGAATAACTGAATAGAAAAAAAAAAATGCTCCAACAGCGAACATTACTAGATTCAAGGACAACAAAGGTTAATATACATGATGTGATTTCTCCAGGCTTATCATCTACATATGTTGAGGATTTCTTGGGTAGATAGATGACATATGAAAAACACTGAATTTGGGATGTATTTATATCAGAAATCTGCTTGTTTTACCCCCTTCCTTCCAAACTATTACAATAAAGCAAAACAAAAGCAATCATTATACAGAAACCAAAATGTATACAGAAACCTTGCTTGTAATTGCTTTTAGGAATTAGACTTATTTTAACTGATTATTACAGTTATAATTACCTTCATAACTAGCACAAGTAAAATGATAGATCTATAGAAATTAAATAACATTGCTCAGAGTTGCAGTAGTGGGAAAGGATCTTTTCAGTGATGAAACAGATTTGACAGAACTGAATTATACACCCTGCCATACCCAATTTACTAGGAGGGGGAAGGACTTAGTGAATTTAAGGGGAAAAATTTCATGATTATAGGTGTTTAAATCTTAGCTTAAACTGTAGAGAGGGGAAAAATGCTATCAAAACATATTAAGAACATCAGTTATTAAAAATATCTACCGTTAAATAATCATTATTTTAAAAAGTCTGTTTTATGATCTGAACAACCCTACAGTTCGAGATGAACATTAAGGCTAAATAGGAAAAATGATCACCTTAATTTTATAAAAAAGAAAAAACAACATCATCAGCACAGAAGGAATTGCTGACTTCACTTATATATACCTGTTTCTATACTCCTTTCCATGGATTTGATCTTCTTATCTTGAGATGTCAACTAGTTATTCTTCCTATTGATGTAATTTTCTTTGTGAAACTATAACTGCTCAGTTCAAACTTCCCAAAGCAACAAAGAACATACTATAACAAAGCAACCAGAGGAAGTCAAAGGGGTTGACATTTAACCATTTATTTCATTAAAATTATTTTCTGGGTGACTAATTTACATGATTAGTCCATTATATACATTGTGAACAAAAACTGCTGTTTTGAGAGAGAAATCAAGTCTATATTGAGTAAACCTGACTTGCTTGCAGGCTAAAGAACAATTAATAGGAAACAACAATGTTGTGAATAAATAAAGTAACAAATTTTATCCTTAAACAAAATGTAAAAGGGTATTTTTAATGTAGTCATTAGAAAAAATAATAAATGAACTCACTGAAACATTTATTTTGAAATACTTTCTTCTTATTATCTTAAAATGATGTATGTGCCAATACTTGGTCATTCCTTTTTTATCATGTCATATATCATAATTCTTATTACAATGAAAATAGACCTTTATGAAAGCTGTTAAGAACACTGGTTAGAATGTAAGCTCCTTGTGAGAACGGATTGTTTGATTCTTTGTATTTTTATCACCTAATAACATGTTTGGTACATGGTAGGCACTTTAAGCCTAACTGACTCATTAAGAATATAAAAAAGCATTTCTTTAACACCTACTATATTTAGCAAATTAGAAGCAGGGGTAGGATAAGAACTCAAGAACCGAAAAGAATATAAGTTCCTTGAGTGTAGTATGCCCTGTTTCTTTTTCTTTTCTTTTCTTTTTTTTCGTATCTCCAGCATCTAGTAGTGTCTGGTTATAGGAGCCATTAATAAATGTTTGTTCAATCAAATGAAGTCTCCTCATCCCTAATCTTATGCTTTTCTACTACAATGCGTTGCCTCACAACTATGTCCCCTCATAACTCAATCCTTCTTACCAATGCAGATATATAGGCAGCTGTTCTTAAGAGTCTTACAAGTTTTCCAGGATACAGAAAGAGTAACAAATCTGACTAGGATCAGATAGTTAATATATGAGGCAAGCCCTGAACCAAGGTTTCCCTAATTCTGAGGCTGGAACTCTATCAGGTATACAATACTGCCTCTCAATATAAATTATTCATATAAAGAAAAAGGCAAAAAAAAA